CACCCCTCCCCACTCTGGCTGTCAGGACCCAATCCGCCGGGATCCCCCAGGCTCAGGCCGTGTCCCCCAGGCCCTCGAGCCCCGTCCCCGCTCTGTGGCGGGTGCCCCGTTCCCCGCCGTGCCCCTCACCAGGCTGAGCTCCGTGCCGGGCCAGTTCACCCTGAACGGGATGTCGTCGCTGAGCTGCGGGAGCGCTCGGCCGCCCTGGGCCACGGCCGCCACGGCCGCCAGGAGCCCGCAGAGCAGCGCGGGGGCCGGGCGGGGCCCGCCGCCGCCCCTGGCGGGGCCCGGGGCCGGGCAGGGCGGCCCGCAGCCCCTCGGGGGGCCCGGGCAGGGCGGGCCGCAGCCCCTCATGCCGGCCGGCGGCTCCGCGGAGGCCGCGCTGCGCCGCCCGCCACGTCGGCTTCCGGCAGCGCCCATCAACAACCGGGGCAGCGCCCGCAGCCCGCTCCCCGCCGCATCCGGGGCGGCCCCGCCGCGAACCCAGGTGAGGAACGCGGGCACCGGGACGTGAGGGGGCAGTGAGGGAGTGAAAAGGGACGGTGAGGGGGTGAGCGAGGGGGGCGAAGGGGCGAGTGAGGGAGGAATGAGGGAGGGGGAGTGAGCGGGGGGAGAGCGGGATGCATGTGGTTAACTTCGGTCATTAGGCGTGTAATTAACTTCGGTCATTATTGTCTGCGCTGAGGGTTAAACACGACCAAACAGCTACGAGGTTATGAGTGTAAGACAGCGCTCTAAGGGCTCCCTGTGTGTGCATCTCTATAAACACCTGTGTCTGTGTATATACACCTATGAATATATGTGTGTGTGTCTGTGTATATACACAGTATATAAATAGATGTGTGTATACATACACACTTGTTTATATATATGTGTGTGTGTGAATATACACTGTATATAAATAGATGTGCGTGTATATACACACTTGTATATATGTGTGTGTGTGAATATACACTGTATATAGATGTGCATGTATATACACACTTGTTTATATGTGTGTGTGTGTAAATATACACTGTATATAAATAGATGTGCGTGTATATACACACTTGTTTATATGTGTGTGTGTGTAAATATACACTGTATATAAATAGATGTGCGTGTATATACACACTTGTATGCATATATAAATTTTTAAGAGAAGGGGTCACGACAGCACATAAAAACAACAGACCTGACAGTTTCTGTTCTTGCTGGGTTGTGACTTCAGGTCGTGTTCTTAAGTTAATTTTACCGTTTGGGGTTTATTCTTTATATTAGCCTTAAAAAGTGAAATGAGGCGCTGAGAGGTTATGGCCTGTTGGAGTCCAGGTCAGGACTTGACAATAAAAGGAATTGTTTTCTTGAGAATAAAGGGGCTTATCCTCTGCATTTAAGGATAAATTAATATACACAGGGCAAGATTGGGAACAGGTTTAGCAGTAGCTTTGTGTGTGTGCTCGTGTAGTGAAGCCGTATCTAAAATCTTTATAATTTGCACAAATATAGATTGAGTTTGAACCAGCAGGAGAAAAGAATAAAAGAAGCCTAAATGGCCTATAAAAGGTGTATATTAATTTTTTTTGTGGCGAGTAACAGATCTGAAAGGCTTTTGGTGGTGATCAAACCTGCAGGGAGAGCAGTGGCTCCAATCCCACGCAGCGAGAACACATTTATATCTTTATTATTCTATTTCCCGTGCTTTAATTAATTTCTAAGGTGACACAGTTTATAGGAGCTGTTGTGTTTTGTTTTTCACCCTCATTCCCAGCGCGTTTGAGTGTAATTAAGACACACCTTGATGTCCATCCTCCTATGGACACACTTTAAAAATAACATTCTCGGAAACTTCCAACCCTGTTAGTCAACGCGATGCATTTTTATTGCACTGGAGTTGTACACATACACTGGAATGTGTATTATTGCCATGTTTTATGGATTTGGGAAGCAAATGAACCAACAAAGCCTTGAAGACAATTAAAGAAAGAACATGTGGAGCTACACAGAATCACAGTGCTTAAATAGTGAGAGTTTTAGAGAGAGAATCATCCTTGATGGTTTGGGATCATTAGTGAGCACAGAGCACCCCCCTGCCCTGTTTTAAGGAACAAGGCTCAGTCTTTGAGGAAAGAACTTTTAAATTTAGAAAGACTTTTTAAAAGAGCAGACAGTGTTCATGCCGTTGCACGTGGTTTTACTTTCACAAGTCTAAACCAGGAAGATGCAAAGAAGAGAAAGGGGTGACCTTTTTAGGAGAAAAGAGACATTTCTTGCAATTACTGGTGCAGAATCCAGGCCTCCAGGCAGCCACTAAAAACACATTCCCTGGCTGAGAGAACAGACGTTACCTGGTGGTTGAAACAGGACCATTTACGTTAAGATATAAAAATATACTTTGTTAAAAGTTAATAAAAATAAATTTTTGAGGAGCGAGACGGATCTGCGTTGGGATGGAAATTCCATGTGCTGATGGGTTGAGTCAGGAAGCCGACTGGCCTAAACTGGGGGCTCCCCAACCCTCTTGGGATGTCACTGAAAAGAGGGTTCCTTCCTTCATTACCTCCTGTCAGTGAATCCCTGAAAACAGGCTTAAAAATCTGTCCTTGGAGCTGGGTGGATTTTTTAAGAGAACAACAACAGCGTTTAAAAGTAACAGACGTGAGAGTTTCTCTTCTTGCTGGGTTGTGACTTCAAGTCCTGTTCTTAGTTAATTTTACCATTTGGGATTTATTCTTTATATTAGGATTAAAAAGTGAAATGAGGCACTGAGAGGTTATGGCTCGTTTGAGTCCAAGTCAGGACTTGACAATAAAAGGAATTATTTCCTTGACAATAAAGAGGTTTATCCTCTGCATTTAAGGATAAATTAATACATAAAGGTCAAGATGACTAATTCAGTGGAATAACTTCATTTCAGAGCATCTGAACGTTGATATAAATGCTCCACTTTGCAAAATTTCTCTCTGTAGTAGCACTGTGGTCTTGAATCACAAGAAACCACCAGTTAGATCTGTGGGACTTGTCTCTGAATGCTGATTTTAAAAATAAGCTATTTAGAATATGCTATTTAAAAATAATCTAAGATTTTATGCTAAACCTGAAATAATAATTAAAAAAAATATATATCTTTAAACAAAGAGAAGCTTAGTGAGATTCCCATGCAGGTGTAGTCTTTGGATGAAAGGCTAAGATACCAAAACCACACCTAAAACATTTTCCCTGCTGAAATGAACGATTCTGGTAATTTTAATGACTGACTCCTATTCTGAACGCAGTGTTAATTAAAGATATGCACCACTAATTAAGGTAGCACAGCACAGAGAAACGCTCCTCCCAGTTACCAGAGCCACAGAACCCCTCTGGAGACGGGACCAGGTCGTTAGAGAGAGCGGGACGGGACCAGGTCGTCAGAGAGAGCGGGACGGGACCAGGTCATCAGAGAGAGCGGGACGGGACCAGGTCATCAGAGAGAGCAGGACGTGGCTTTATAGACAATTGGGGGGCTGGTGCTTTTTCAAGAGCTCCTTGACCAGCGTCTCCAGGGAGAAGAGGTGCTCGTCCACGTCCTCGGGGACGAGGCTGCGGATGGAGTTGGCCAGCTCGAAGAGGTACTCGGTGTTGCGGCCGCTGGGCCCGGCGGCGCCCAGGATCTGCCGCGCGATGTCCTCCAGCGGCGCGGGGCCCAGGTAGTTGGGGTTGTCGCGGGTGCCGATGTAGAGCTGCACCTCGAAGGGCTGCACCGACGAGTCCTTGGGGTAGAAGATGACGCTGGTGGTCCTGTAGCCCCCCTTCTCCCTGAAGTCCAGGTGCGCCATCACCTCGCCCTCCTGCCCCGCCGGCAGCCGGTAGGCAACGCCCCACACGCAGCCCTGGACAAAGGAGACCCAAAGGGTACTCAGTATTTAGGCAAAACTCTCTTAAACCAACTTTGGCTGTTTCTTTGAAAGGGCTGATTTATTCAGGCAGTTCATAGAATCAGAGAACCTCAGGAAAAGACCTCCCAGATCATCCAGTCCAACCCTTGCTCCAACCCCGCCGTGGTTCCCGGACCATGGCACTGATGCCACATCCAGTCTGTCCTTAAACACCTCCAGGGATGGAGAATCCACCCCCTGCCTGGCAAGCCCATTCCAGTGGCTAAGCACTCTCTCTGGAAAAAATTCCTTCCTAATATCCAACCTAAACCTCCCCTGGCACAGCTGAAGACCCAGCCCTTTTGTCCTGCTGCTGGTTCCTGGGAGAAGAGCCTGGAGCCTGACCCCCACCTGCCTACAACCTCCTGTCAGGGAGTTGCAGAGAGTGAGGAGGTCTCCCCTGAGCCTCCTCCTCTCCAGCCTAAAGAACCCCAGCTCCCTCAGCCTCTCCTGCACCGCTGTGGGCTGCCCAGGTACCTTCAAAATCAGGCTACACCTTGTTCAGCTGCAGGGGGTGACGCTGAAATTAGAGCAGACTTGTCACATCACTTGATGTTTACATCAAATGGTGTATGTTTGATATATGTTTATATCAAATTCTGCATCTTACAACTGGGTGGCCAAAGTGACTACTCCAGAAAATACTTTAAAATGTCCCTTTGGTAATAACAGACCCAAACTACAACCAAGTTCTGAGTTTAGATTGATTATTTGAATTAATCAAGAGCCATTGGTGTAACTCCAAGAAACACTAAGAGAACTTTTCCCTAAAGATAATACAATTATTTGCTTGTAAAGAAGCAACAGTTAAGAGAGATTGGGAATACAACAGGACATTCTGGACACAGATAGGAGTTCTGTACCTCAGCATCTTCAACCAGAGTCACAACTCTTCCAGGCTGAAATGTAAAAGAAGAAACCATAACTCAGTTAGAGGCTTTTACCCTAAATCATGAGCAAAACTAAAACAAAGCGAGAAAAAAACAATGAAAGACTCAGAGAACTAATCCAGGACAATCCCAATAAGGTCAAGATCCAGTATAAATATTTTCTGAGAATAGCTTTTGATCTGTATCAGACTAACTTTGATAAACTGAATGTTAAATTCTGAGTGGACGGTGTCTGCAACACAGAAATTAAATGGAGGGCAGTCAGAAATGGGGAGAGTTTCAATGTCCTTGCTTTACATGTGCTGTCCAGACTCAATTCTATTCCAGTTTAAAACAGTGATTATTTATTAACAGTACAGTAACAGTGATAATTAACAGTTTCATTAATGTAAAACTGTCCTCAAGGAGCCCTTGGGGCCTCACTGGACAGAGGGAGAATACCTTGCAAATGGCTTATTTTTCCCAAGAAGATTATTCTTGTAGGGAGAGTAAGAAGCCAGTGTATAAATACTGGAAACACAATAGTTGAAATTCCTTTTATAAAAATTTTAAAACATAAACCCCTATGCTGAACTACATCTGCAGTTTAAAATCGCTAATTTTGGCATCAAATGAGTTCTCTCCCAGCATGAGCCCTCTATTCCTGATCTGACTGATAAAATAAGGCAACAAAACTACATGAACACCAAATGATTCCTATTTCCTGAGGAGAAATAGGTCTGTTCCCGTGATTCATGGAAGATAACTTAGGTGTTCCTTTTGGAAAGTTTTTTCCATAGCTATTAATGCTTCCATAACTTGTGCCCTCAATACTGGTCAAGAAGATTTTTGTAAATCATGGATTGAAGAGACATTCTGGGGTGGAAAACAACTTTATCCTTACAGAACCGCAGCCTAACTGCATTAAATTTTATCTAAATTAATTTGATTTAATACGAAGGGAGGTACTGAGAGGTTCTTCGTGTTCAGGTGGGGTGTGTGGTGGGAGAAGGATCTGTTTGCCCAGGGAAGGGCAGGGTATTTAGTGTATTGGTTCGCAGAGTCCTTGGCTCGCCTGGAACTACCCAAAACAAACAGTAAGGAACAAATAACTAACTACTTATTGATACAGGGATTAATTACTGCTTGTACTACTGGGAGTAATTCTCTGACAATCTTTTTTAAGTACAACTAAGGTGTAAGTTGCTGTATACTTTGAAGAGCTGTTTTTTCCTCGTTTTATTGCTGTTTTTTAACATGTGTCAGGACTGAAGTAGCAGTGGCGGCTCAAGCCGTGTTATCTCTAAGCTCTGTGCGAGGTGTTTTATCGGGTTATTTACACCTAGATGAAACTTCCTTCCACGCCACACACAGCGAGCTGTTATTTTAAAATAATCCTTAAAGCCACACACAGCAAGCTGTTATTTTAAAATAATCCGTAAGCTTTCTTTTTTTCTCTGCAGGAGGAGCTCTTTTAAAGCTTTATTCCAGGTTTACTCCAGGTGGAGTTACCGGGTGCAGGTTACACTTTATCCTCACTCCCATTATGTCTCCGTGACATTGGGAATGTCACTCCCTTGGGAATTTTGGTTTCTTTTTCTTGCTAGTTTTTGTGGGTTTTTTAAATTTTATTTTCTCCTTTTCCAATCGGGTTTTAAATATTTCCTCATCCATGCATTTTTTTGATCTGAGAGCAGAATAAGTTGAAATACAAGCGAGGAGGTTACTGCCTTTTCCCATTCCCTGTGCCACAGCCCGGCACCCGCCCCGAGGGGTTTGCCCTCACCGAGGGGTTTCCCCCTCAGGTATCCAACAGCCTCAAGAACAGATCTGGCCGTTCCCGAGCCCCTCTTTTTGCAGTCCCTTATGCTGTCTGTTGTGTTTTTTTGCAGTCGTCGCCGGTGCCCGTCCGGCGGCGGGCGGGGCCTGTGCCCGGCCCGGCGCTGAGGGCCGCGCTCCCCCCGGCCCCGGCGCGGCTCACCTTGCCCGGCACCCCGCGGTGGTCGGTGCTGCCCTGCCAGAAGCGGCGGCTGTAGCCCCGGACGCGCCCCACCAGCTTCTCCTGGTAGGGGAAATCCACCTTCCAGATGAGGGAGCCGTAGCCGAACACCCACATGGCGGCCCGGCCCGGCGGGGCCTGCGCGCAGCCGCGGGGCGGCTCCGGGCGGGGGCACCGGCACCGCCGCCCGCCGCCTGCCCTCAGGGCCGCGCGGGGCACGGGGACGGGCCGGGCCGGGGCTGGCGCGGTCCCTGCCGGCCGGGGAGAGCCGCTTATCCCCCTAAAAACCGCCCGCAAGTCCCCCAGATAACCACCTCCGCCGAACAGGCACCCAAACCCTGCAACCACCTCCCACAAACCCACCACACTACCTCCCCACAACCCCACTGACAGTCCCCCTCAAACCCACCAAACCACCGTCCCCCAACCCCACAAACAACCTCGCCCCCAAACCCC